AGAAAGAGAGATTTTAAATAACTCAATCTCAGAAAAGAAAATAGATCCAGCTATAAAGAAACTACTGAAGAAAAAAATTCATGGTCTTGATAGATTGATTCACAGGACAATTTTATTAAACTTTTAAAGAACAAAAAAAAAAGTACCCATACTTCACGAATTATTATCAAAAATTGAGAAAGGAAGCTCTCTACCAGAATCCTTTTATGAAAATATAGTCCTATTACTTAAACCAGGAAAAGATAAAATACAAAAGGAAAACTATAAGCCAATATCAATAATCCATATTGACTCAAAAATTTTTAACAAAATCCTGTCAAACAGACTATCCAAGACTTATCCAAGAAATCATTTTATGATCAACTAGGGATTGCAAGGATGATTCAACATTAAGAAAACAATCAATATAATTAAGCACACTAAAAAAACAAAACATCCAAAACCACATAATCATCTCAACAGATAAAAACATAGCCTTTAAGTAGAGAATTTTTTTATGCTAAAAACCCTTTAAAGTATAAGCATAAAGGGATCTTTTTTAGTATCATCAAAAGTAATATCAAAAACTAAAAGCAAACATCATATGCATATTTTCAACAAATGTGAGAGTGAAACATGGATGCCCGCTCTCTCCATCAGAAATGCTAGCAACAGGGGCAGCTAGGTGGCGCAGTGGATAGAACACCGGCCCCGAAGTCAAGAGGACCCGAGTTCAAATGTGACCTCAGATCTTGACACTTACTAGCTGTGTGAACCTAGGCAAGTCACTTAACCCCAACTGCCTAAAAATAAAAAAAGAAATTTTAAAAAATGCTAGCAACAGCAATAAGAAAAGAGAGGGAAATTAAAGGCATAACGAGAAGTAAAAAAGAGATTTAAACTATCCCCATTTGCTGAGAGCATATTTAGAAAATCCTAGTTAATCAACAGAGAAACTAATTAAGACAATTGGGTAGCTTTAGCAAAGTCACAAGGTACAAAATAAACCTTTAAAAATCAATAGCATTTCTCTATAATAATAACAAAACCTAAGAAATAATAATAGAAGGGGAAAATCTCATTCCAAATAACCACAAAACCAAGAAATCTAGATTACTGGTGTCAAACTCAAATAGAAACAGATTTCTGCTGACTGAATATTGACTCAGAAAACCACCAATTTACATTATTTGTGTTGTACTGTATTTTTATTTATTTTGTTAAACATTCCCCAATTACATTTTAATCTGATTCTGAGTTTTGTGGGCCACTAGTAGCTGGCAGGCCTGAGTTTGATACCTCTGATCTAGAATAACAAGGGAAATGATGAAACAAGTAGGGATAAAAGGGTATAGCACCTCCAGACCAAAAACCATATTATAAATCAGCAGTCATCAGAACTATGTAGTACTGGTTAAAAAACAGAGAGATAAATCAATGGAACAGACTACACGAGAGAAAATCAGAAATAATGGATCTCAGTAACACAGTGTTTGATAAAGTGAAAAATATAAATTACCTAGGAAAAAACTCCTTATTTGATAAAAACCACTGGAAAAACTAGAAAAGACTCTGGTACAAATTAGGATTAGAGCAACACCTTACACCATATTCTACAACACATTCTAAATGGATACATTACCTTAATATTAAAGATAATACTATAAAAAAAAATTAGGAGAGAAGCAGATCACCCTTTCAAAGCTATGAGTAGGAGAGGTATTCCTAACCAAACAAGAGATAGAGGCAGCTATAAAAGATAAAACAGGTAACTTTGATTATATGAAACTGAAAAGTTTCTGTACAAAATTAACGCACCTAGGATAACAAAGGAAGTGGTTGAATGGGAAAAAGTTTTTGTATCAAATTTCTCTGATAAAGGTTTGGTATCCAAGATATATAAACAATACATAAATATGTACATAATACTAATATCCATTCCCCAATATATAAGTAGTCAAAGGAGATGAACAAATAGTTCTCAAAAGAACTGTCAATTATTCACGAGCACATCAAAGAATGCTCCAAATCACTAATATAAGAGAAATACAAATGCAAAAACAACCTGAGGTTTCACCTCCCATCCTGCAAATTGGCTAAAATGATAAAAAAATAGAAATCATCAACATAGGAAGGTTTGTAGGAAGATAGGCACAGTAATAATACATTGTTGGAGCTGTGAAATGGTACAACCATTTTAAAAAGCAATTTGAAATTATTTAAATAAAATGATTACAATGTCCATATCTTTTGAACTAGAGGCTTATACACGAAGAAGTCATTGATAAGAAAAAAGTTCCCATATACATCAAAATATTTATAGCAATATTTTTTGTGATAGCAAAAAATTAGAAATAAAGAAGATATCCATCAATTGGGGAACGGCCAAACAAATTATGGTACATGAATGCAATGGAATATTACTGTGCTCTAAACCTGTCTTAACCTCCCTTACTAAATTACAAACTCATTGAAGGTGGGGACCATTTTAAATTCAATTTTGATTCTCATCTAAGGCAACCACAGAGCCTAGTACATTAGCAGACACTTAAGTGGTTTTTCAATTGAATGTTAACAAAAAAAAATAGTGACATAGTCCTCACTCTCAAGGAGCTTATGTTGATACAACATCTTCACAGATAAGTAAAAATAAAATACAAAATAAGTATACAGTGATTTTAGGGGTGGGAGGGAATAGCTATGGGAGTCAGGGAATCTCAAAGAAGGTAGCACTTGATCTGAGCCTTGAAGAGAGATATATTACAAAAGGAGGAGGAGAGAAAGGAGCTCATTCTAAACATAGGGACAGCATTTACAGGAGAGGTTCTTAACCTGGGGCCTGTAAACTTTTTTTTTGTTATTTCTAATATTTTGAGAATTGTATTCCAATGTAATCAGATTCCTTTGTTGCCTCATGTATTTTATTTTATTCATTCATTTAAAGACATTCTTGTCAGAAGGAGTCTGTAGGCTTCATCAGACCGACAAAGGGAGTTCACCGTGACCCCCCAAAAAAAGGTTAAGAAGCCCTGCTCTACAGCATACCCACACAAGCAGCTATCCAGACTTTGTTAGAAGTGGTTGTGAGGGAGGACCTTCTACCTCTTAAGGTAGCCCATTTCACTTGGGGGTGGATCCAATTGTTAAGAAGTTTTTCTTTATATCATGCTTACATTTTCCTCTGTGGAACTTCCACTTCCACTCATGGCTCCTAGTTTTATCTTTCTTGCACATAACAACCATTCAAATATCCCCACTTATTTCAACCTCTTCTTATAAGGCATGAGCTAAAGGCCTTTCACCATCCTGACTGTCCACCTCTGGAGGCTTATGGCCAAGCTGTTGATGGGGCTTTGCCTCAGCTAGACTGGCCCTTGTTGACAGACACAGCCTGTCACCAGGCCCATATATAATGTCCTTTCAGTTTAGCAGGATCTACCAGAATTTTCACTCTGCTAATATAGTCTTTGCAGGCTGAGGATCCCATTTATACTGTGATGCATCACTGGAGGATTTTAGTGGGAGAAGAATGACAAATGTGAGGAATATAAAGAAAGATGGAAAGAGAGGTTTCATAGGACATATATAGAGAGAAGGTTCATAAAAATCTAATGACTCAGAGCAACTAGGTCACGCAGTGGACAGAGCACTGGCCCTGGAGTCGGGAGGACCTGAGTTCAAATCCGGCCTCAGACACTTGACACTTAACTAGCTGTGTGACCTTGGGCAAGTCACTTAACCCCATTGCCTACCAAAAAAAAAAAATCTAATGACTCCCTCATTTTACAAATAGAAGACTCATCTTCCTGAGTTCAAATCTGGCTTCAGATACTTCCTAGCTGTGTGACTCTGGGCAAAGTCATTTAACCCTGGTTTGCCTCAGTTTCCTCATCTGTAAAATGAGCTGGGGAAGAAAATGGCAAACAACTGCAGTATCTTTGCCAAAAAAAACCCCAAAGGGGTCATGAAGAGGTGGACATGACTGAAACAACCAAACAACAACAACAAGAAAACTGAGACCCAAATGAGTTAAATAATTTGCCCAAAGGTTACCACAAGCTAAGTGGGACACCAAATAAAGAAAAGTAGAATCAGAATAGCAGTTTATGTATTAACAATTACTATACATATTGACTATTACTTTAGTATATAAAAGGAAAACATATACAGCTAGGTAGCACAGTAAATAGTGTTGGGCCTACAGTCAGAAAGATCTGAGTTCAAATTCAGTACCAGGCACTTATTAGCTATGTGACTATGTGATCGTAAGCAAGTCATTTAATCTCTGTCTACCTCAATTTCACAAATTGTAAAATGAGGAGTAATAGCACCTACCTCCAAGGGTTGTTGTGAGGATCAAATGGTATAATATTTGTAAAACACTTAGCACAAGGGCCTCGTACATAGTAGGTACTTAATAAATACTTGTCTCCTTCCTCCAAAAGTACAGGAATAAATGGACAAAGATAACAAAAGGGAATAGGGGAAGGAATAGTTGATAAATTGTTCTAAACATCTGTATGATGCTCATTTTTTAAAAAAACTTAGTTACAAGTTTAATTGAAGGTTATTACTCAAATAGATCTGTGACCTCAATTTAGTTCTTTCCTCAAAAGATACACATTGCAGCCCATCCATGCCTGCCTATTCTGTGTAACTCTTGACTTTTCCTGGATCAAGCTGGTTTACTGTAGAAAGATCAATCCAGCACTCTGAAGACCTTCCTCAATTTCTCCTAACATGGTGAGAGTATCAGTGGAGCACTGGGGCCATCTATCTGTCATTCCTTATTCTAACCAGGTCATCTTCTTTTCAAATCATACAATTCCTCCATGGTTACATGTTGCAGCCTGCTCACACTTGTTCATGTCTCTATTGTCCTCCCTGTGATATTCATTTAAAGTTAAATTTATGATAAATCTCTTACTTAAAAAATGAAAGTTATCCCCATTGCTGCAAGAACACCTTCCCATCCCCTGATGCCCATCACCTCTAGTTGCCAAGGATAGCTGAATATTTACCCAGGTCACCAATCCATCACAATCTGCATCCACTTTCCAGAACAGGGATTCCAGGGTTTCATCAGTCACAGATGAAAACGTCTCCTTCATCACCTTTTGGAAACTTTCCATGTTCAAAGCTGAAAATGGGAGATTAATCTATTCAATATACATTTATTAAACATCTACTATATTGGAGGCTACATCCAGGTGTTTTGTTACTCTAGAAGGGCACAGTAGCCAAGAAAAGACATTTGCTGCCAAGGAGGGTAGTTTCATCTGGGAGAAGCAGCTGAGGAAGACAGACTGTAAAACATCAGAGTCCCCAACCATATTCAGAAGACAATTTACTCTTCATGAGAATATGGACAATTAGGTTTGGAACAGGCAGTGTGATTATAGAAAAGGTGAAAAGTGGTAGAAAGAGCACTGACTCCAAGTCCAGCAGAGCTAGGGTCCAACTGAATGTGACCTGGGGCAATGGGCAATGATTCATATTTATGTAGTACTCAAAGGCTTAAAAAGAGTTTTCCTGACAAAAACCTTGTGAGATAGATAATACCATGGCAACCTCCTCCTCTCTCTGGGCCTCCATTTTTACCTTTACAAAAATGGTGGTGGGGTAGAAATAGGAAGGGAGGGATAAAAAGGCATAAGTGGGCCTGGAGTTGAGCTAGAACAGGAGTTCTTCATGCTTTTTGAGTCATAAACCCCTCTTTGGCAGTCTGGTAAAGCCTATGGACCCCTTCTCAAAATAATGTGGGGTTTTTGTTTCTTTTTTTTAATAATGTTTTTAAATGTACAAAATAAAATGCGTAAGATTTCAAAGGAAACAAAAGGTTAGTAAAAATAAAGATTTTTTTTTCTCATCCAAGTTCACAGACTCTCTTAAGTCTAACCATGGATCCCTTGCGGGGATCGGTGGACCCCAAGTTAAGAAATCTTGGACTAGAGAATACTAGATCTAGAATTGGAAGACACCTCAGAACCCATTTAGTCTAACTCTATCTCACTTTACAGATGAAGAAATTGGGGTCCAAGGAAGTTAAGTGACTTGCCCAAGGCCATGCAAATAAAAAGTGTGTCAGAGGCGAAATTTCAACCGAGGTCCTCTGTCTATAGACCCAGTGCTCATTCTCTCATACTATCATCTCTAAAGTCCTATCTCTAAAGTTCTAAAGTTCTGTGATTTTAATCATAATACACAAGGTTGGCTGGGGGTTTTTTTGCTTGTTTGTTTGTTTTTGGTGAGGCAATTGGGGTTAAGTGACTTGCCCACAGTCACACAGCTAGTGAATTATTTTTAACATGTCTGAGGCCAGATTTGAACTCAGGTCCTCCTGACTCCAGGGCCAGTGCTCTATCTCCTGTGCCACCTAGCTACCCCAAGGGCTGGTTGTTTTGATCTTAGATTGTAAGCTTGTTGAGGGCAGGAACTGTCTTTTGCTTCTTTTTATATCTAAGGATAAAATGCTAAGGCATGTGGGTAGCACATAGTAGGTACTTAATAAATGTTTATGGAATTGAATTGGAGAAGTGTTTTTTTTTTACTGGACCTGTAAATGCTTTGATATGAGTGATTCCCAGTCAGGAAACTCTCACTCTACCAATGCAGATCAGCACCTGCTCTACAACTTATAGTCTGAGAGAGTTACTGGGACAAGGAGAATTTAAGTTATTTACCCAGGGTAACACAATCAGTATGTGTCAGAAATAAGACTTGAACCTAGATATTCTTGACTCTGAGGCTAGTGTACTTATTAAATCAAGGAAAAGTTGATTTCTGTCCCCTCAATTAACCAACACCATCACCAATCCTCCTCTCTCCCATTCCTCTCCCTGTCTGTCACATACATACACAAAAAATTGAGTCAAAGCAGTTTTACCTCCATTGTGGTCTGCAGTCTTTTCAAACATTTTCTCCAATGTTTGTAGGATCTCCTGGGTTATACACACTTCCATATCTGGCTGGGAGCAGACAGACTGACTAGCTGTGGTTGTCTCAGATTTAGCTCGGATATTCTTTGGTCCATTTGACTTGAACAGAAAAGTGTTCCATTGTTAACCACACTCAATTTAAAGAGAGATTTGAAGACATCCTCTTGAGCAGAGAAATTAAATGCCTCTGATATTATAAGCTGATACATAAGGAATTAAATCAAAGCCCTTAGAACTGAACAGGTACAGCTGTGAATTGATCCAACCATCCTGGAAAACAATTTGGAACTGTGCCCACAGGGCATACCCTTTGGTATATTCATACCCTTTGATCCAACAATACCACTACTAGGTCTGTATCCCAAAGAGATTTTTTTAAAAGGGGAGAGGGGGAGGCCACCACAGGAAGGGCTAATTTGTACAAAAATATTTACAGCAGTTCTTTTTGTGGTGGCAAAGAATTGGAAACTGATGCCCATCAATTGTTGTGGTATGTGATTGTAAAGGAATATTGTGGTGCTACCAAGAAATGACAAGCAGGGTGGCTTCAGAAAAACCTAGAAAGACTTACATGAACTGATGTAAAGTGAAGTGAACATAACCTGGAGAACACTGCACATAGTAATAACAATAGTGTACGATAATCAACTGTGAATGATTTAGCTATTCGCAACAGTACAATGATCCAAGACAATTCCAAAGGACTCATGATGAAAAATGCTATACACCTCCAAAGAAAGAACTGATGGAATCTGAATGCAGATCGAAGCATGCTATTTTTCACTTTACTTTTTGTGGGTTTTTTCTTTTAGTCTGTGTCTTCTTTCACAACATGACTGACATAAAAAATTTTTTTCCATTATTGCACATCCATAACCTATATCAACAAGGTGCTTACCATCTCAGGGAGGAAGGAGAAGAGGGAGGTAGGGAGAGAATTTGGAACTCAACATTTTTCAAAATGAATGTCAAAAATTATTTTTACATGTAATTGGGAAAAAAGTAAAATATTTAAAAAAAAACTGAATGATCAATGAATATAGGACATCATCTGATCTGGGCCCCTGTCTTCAGTCAGGATTGTTCTCCTTCCTTATCTCTACCTCTTGGAATTCATGGTTTCTTTCAAAACTCAGCTAACCTGTTGTTAGTCCCTCCTGCAGAAAGTCTTTCCTCCCTAACCCCACTGCCACCTCAGGGGCCTTTCCACCTAAGTTTACTTTGTACATATGCTTTGTATGAGTTTCATATATACTTATATGAAACTAGAAGTACAAGCTCTTTGAGAACATAGATCATTCCATTTCTGTCTTTGTATCTCCAGAACTTAGACAAGAACCTGGCTCAACTGATTTATCATCCCTATTGTCTAGCTGGCACAAAGGAGATCCAGAGAAATTGTCCAAAGTCATCCTTGACCAGCATTAAATGCTAAAATCAGAAAAATCACAGACTCAGAATTGGAAGCCACCTTAGAAGTCAACCACTGTAATCCTTGCTCAAGCCTAACTGAATATACTTGCAAACTTGATAAACATGCCCTCTCTACCTTCATTCAAGGCCTTGAGATAAATGTTCAGTGGAAGAAAGTCAAATGATTCCAAATTAACTGTGGATTAAATTCTATATTATTTCTTTAAGTCTTTAAGTAGTCAAGTCCAAGTCCAAACCATTTCATAATACAGTGGAAAGAACATGAATTGGGCTCAGGTCCTGACTCTGCCACATAGGAGCTGTGTAAACATGGGCAAGTTATATAACTTCTCAGATGCTGTTTCCTCTGCCATAAAATGAGGAGGCTGGAATAGATGATTTCTACGGTTTCTTTCAGCTCTAATATTCTATAATTTGGCTCTTTCATACCTAACTGTTATTCTCCCACAACTGCCCTTGCTCAGGCCAGTCTCCCCTTGTTCTCCAAGAAACTCTAAGAAGTCCATTCCCGCCTCCTCTTCTTAGAATCATAGATTTAGAGATAAAAGGGCCTTTAAAGACTAAATAGTCCAATCCCCTTGTTTTATAGATAGAGGCAGTGAAGAGAGGTAGAATTTCAACCCAGTTTCTTTTACATCACCTATAAACTTTTCCATACTGCCTTCCTGGCTCTTGAAGTTCCCTCTATCTGGAATTCTTACAATGACCTCCCCCTACCCAACATCAACCCATAATTTAAAGATCCCTCTCCCAATAGCTTCAAGACTGGTTGATACCTGGAGGAGGGCTGCCAGTAAAAAACAAAAGAAAACATGGTACATAGAAACTCTATAAGTTCATAGCTTTCCAGCTGTTCCTCACATACAAAATTCCAGCTCCCATGTCCCTATGCCTGGAATGTGCTCCCTCCCCACCTCTGCCTCTAAGAGTCACCATGTTTCCTTCCAAGATTAAGATTAATTCAACGTTCTTACATCTAAACCAGGGAGAGTAAATAGAGAGAAAGAAAACTATAGACCAATTTCTCTAATGAATATTGATGCAAAATTTTAAAATACAATAAATGTTTAGCTCCAATGCTACCTCCTACACGAGGCCTTTCCTGATCCTTTCTCTCCACCCCTAGCCTCCACCCAGCTGCTACAATGACTTCCTTACCTTGTGAGATGTGATACGTTTTCTGGATTTTTCATCCTTAGATGTTTTGTTTGACCTAAAATTAGGAATCAAAAGCAGTTCAACAATGAGTTTTGTGTGGAAAGACTGGGCAAGTAGCTTAAGCTCAATTAGAACATAGTGAGAATGAAGCCAGAGTCATTAATTCAACCCTCTCATGGACCAGTTAGCTATGTCCAGTTCCAGCTTCAGAAACTGAACCCCATGTTTCTGGCAAATCAACTCAAAAAACACAGGCCTGTAATAACTCTATTAATTTTAGAAAAGAAGTCATTGGACTGGGAGTCAAGATACGTGGGTTTGAAACCCAGCTCCAACACTTACAAGCAATATGACCTTGGGCAAGTCTTTGACTCAGTTTTCCCATCTATAAAGATGAGGCTAATGATCTCAGAGAGGCAACAAAATATTCCCTCATTACAAACATTAACAAGCATTGAATTCAAATATATGCATTTGACCATATTAAGGAGCTTCTATGCACTTGTGCTCTTTAGGGTTTTCAACACAAATACTACGTTTTATCGAAGGCTTTTTCTTGAATCAGTTAAGGTGGCATTAGAGCCCTAGGCCTGAAGGAAGACTTGAGTTCAAATCCAGCCTCAGACATTTAGCTGTGTGACCTGGGCGAGTCACTTAACTTCTATTTGCCTCAGTTCCCTCAATTGTAAAATGCAGATAATAATAGCATCTACCTCCCAGGATTGTTATGAGGATCAAATGAAATATTTGTAAAACCTTAGGACAGAGCCTAACACATAGCAGACACTATGTAAATGCTCCCTTCCCTTTGTATCACTTAGCACTGCTATCAATAATTTTGATACAGTTCTAGACATGGCATTTTAGGAAGGTCATGGATAAACTGAAAAGTATCCACAAAGCAACCAGGATGATCAAGAGCATTAAAGATCGTGCTATATGAGAATCAGCTAAAGGAGCTGGGAATGTTGAGCTTGTGTGAAATTAGACTTGAAGGGACAAATATTTTAGAGGCTATAGGCAAACCCTGTTTGCCTCAGTTTCCTCATCGGTAAAATGAGCTGAAGAAGGAAATGGCAAACCACTGCAACGTCTTTGCCAAGAAAACCCCAAATGGGGTCAGGAAGAGTTGGTTGTTGACTGAAACCACTGAAGACCAACAAAAAGAGAATGGAATCAATTCTTTCTTATTGGCCTCAGAGGCAGAGTAAAGAACAAAGAGTGAAGGTTGAAAAGAGGCAACTTAAGTCTGAGATGAAGAAAATCTTCCTCCTAGAACTTTCCAAAAAGGACCTAATGGGCTCCCCTCACCAGAGCTTGATGGCTTCACGTAGGGCCTCTTTTACAGACTTCTTATTCAGGGGTAAGTTAACCTAAATGACTACTGAAGTCTCATAACTCTGTGATGTTGTAACCTCCTCAAGTGCTACTTCTGCTGTGAAAACCTTCCTGATCTCCCCTAATCAATGATTTCTCTCTCTCTCTCTCTCTCTGAGCTCCTTTATCTCAACATTTAAAAAACAGTAGTGTATAACATTAACTGCTTTACGCCTGAATCTCCCCGCTCCTCACTGAATTTATAAACTCTTTGAGGTCTAGCATAACTTTGGGAACTCTTAGGAATTACTCTTAGGAATAAACTCTTGGGAAATACTGGATCAAATCAGCCTCTGCAATATCTCCATTTTTCCCTTCCTTTTTTCTTAAACAAAATTATTATTGAAATCTTTTGTTCTTATATCAACAGAATTTCTCCCAGTATTCTTCTGCCTAGTGCCCTCCAGAGAGCCAACCCATATAATTAATAATATTTTTCATTTCTTTTTTTTTTTTGGAGGCAATGGGAGTTAAGTGACTTGCCCAGGGTCACACAGCTAATTAGCGTCTAAAGTCGCATTTGAACTCAGGTCCTCCTGACTCCAGGGCCAGTGCTCTATCCACTGTGCCACCTAGCTGCCCCGTAATTAATAATATTTTTAAAGAAAAATAAAACAAAGAAATTTCAGTGAAATACGATGCAGCTGAAAGGGTAAAGCCAAGGTCCATCACTTGCACTCATATGTACGTATGCTGTCTAATAGGGCCAAAATGCCCACCCTGCCCAACTGGCCCAATTTCTTTCCTAAGGAGGCTCACCTCAAATGCTACCTCTTCTATGAAGTCTTCCCTGACATTTCCACCAGTCATGATCTTTGACCGCTCCGATGGCTTTGTTTTCATCTCTCCTATACAGCTATCATACCTCTTTCCTATTATAGTTAGCTGAATATTTCTTATATCCCCCTACCAGCTATAAGGATAGTGACTTGTCCTATTTTAATGACTGTTTCTCCCAAACACTGAATCGTGCATTTTAGATAGGATCACAGCCTTTAGGCAGGAAGGGATCTTAGAGGTCATCTAGTCCAACCCTGTTATTTTACAGATGAAGAAGCTGAGGCTCAGAGAGGTAAGCAACTTGCCTAGTAAGTGGCAGAGTGAGGATATGAACTCAAGGCCTCTGACTCAAATCCCTTCTCTTATCCTTACAATCTGTATGAGTTTAGGTAAGTCACTTAACTTGCCTGGGACCCATTTGCTCATCTATAGAATGAGAGGGGTTAGAACAGCCTGTTTCTACTATGCCAAGCTGCTTATTGAATTAAATTGATGGAATTAATTTGGAATAATGAAATTATTTCACTTGATGGTTCTTGTTAAACACTGTTTAAAACCTTAGTCAAGAGGAGTCATACCATGGAGTCAGTTGGGGATAGAGGTAATAATCAGGGGAGAAGGGCCTGGGTTAAGAAGGTACACCATTCCTACTTCTGCCCACCAAGATACATAGACTTTGCTGAGTGTAACTGTGTATCTTCTCCAGTGACCAACATACTTCCATTCCACTTAGCCTATATTTCAGTGACTTCCAAAAACTGTCCATTTTGCCCCATTAGCTATGATGACTTCCTTACCTTACAAGATGAGGTACTTTCTTTGGATTTTTCATTGCTATATGTTTTACTTGACCTGAAATTAGAAATCAAAAGCAGTTTAACAATGCGTTTTGTGTGGAAAGACGGGGCAAGTAGCTTAAACTCAATCAGAACATAGTGAGAAAGAAGCCAGAGTCATGAATTCAATCTTCTGTGGACCAGTTAGCTATGTCCGGTTCCCGGTACAGAAGCTGAACTCTATATTCTTGGCAAAACACAAGCCTGTACTAACTCTATTGATTTTAAAAAAGAAGTCACAGAGGATTAGAAACCAAATGAAATGTTCCTTCCTTACAAACATCAGCAAGTATTGAATTCAAATATGTGCTTTTGACCATATTAACGAGCTTTTCTGCACCTGTGCTCTTTCAGGTTTTCAATATGAATGCTATGTTTTGTCTAAGGCCTTATCCTGGCATTACAGCACTGGGCCTGGAGTCAGGACGACCTGAGTTCAAATCCAACCTCAGACACTTAGCTGTGTGACCTGGGAAAGTCACTTAAGCTCTGTTTGTCTCAGTTCCCTCAACCATAAAATGGAGATGACAGCAGCTACTGCTCAGGATTGTTGTGAAATGAACTATCATATGAAATATTTGTAAAGCCTTAGGACAGTGCCTGGCACATTATATAAATGTTTATTCCTTTCCCTCTCTATTGAAATAATCATACGGTTCTTGCTTTTATCGTTTCCACAAGCAATTGTGCTAATTGTTTTCCCAGTGCTGAACCAACTTGAGCTTATTCCTGCAGAATCCAACTTGTCTCAGCGAATGGCTTTCTGCACAGATTGCTGGAGTCTTTTTGTGAGGATTTTAGGCAAAATTTTCGCACCAACATTCATAGTAAGAATAGTCTATAGTTCTGCTTCTATTTTTCTCTCCTTGGTCAGGATATCAAGACTATATCTTACAAAAGGAGTTTGATAAACTGTACTTTATTTTTGAGAATAATTTTTGTGGCGTAGCTATTGGTTGCTCTTTAAATGTGGCTAGATGGTGCAGTGGATAGTGTGCTGGCCTAAAGTCAGGAAGACTGATCTTCCTGAGTTCAAATCTAGCTGAGTCTGAGGACGCTTACTGGCTGTATGACCCTGGGCAAGTCACCTAACTCTGTCTGCCTCCATGTCTTCATCTGTAAACTGGAGAAAGAAATGGCAAGCTGCCCCTGTACCTTTGCCAAAGAAAACCCCAAAAGTAGTCACAAAGAGTCAGATAAGAATGAAAAGACTAAACAACAAATGATAGAATTCACTTGTAAATTCATCTGGCCTAGGAGTTTTTTCCTTTAGTAGTTTTAATTTACATTTGCTCAAATTCATTTTCTGAGACTGCATTAAGATCTGTATTCTTGTTGTTGTTTTTAATTCAGATGTGTTTTGTTTTGTTTTTTGCTTTTAGGTGAGGCAATCAGGATTAAGTGGCTTTCCCAAGGTCACACAACTAGTGTCAAGTATCTGAGGCAGGATTTGAACTCAGGTCCTCCTGACTCCAAGGCCGAAGCTCTATCCACTGTGCCACCTAGCTGCCCCTCAGGTGTTTATTTCTGAAATTTCCAGTAACTTCTTTTGAATTCTTGGCTTTGTCTTTTTATGTTATATACTAAATCTGTTCCACTGATTAGCCTCTCAATTTTTTAACCAGTACCAAATCATTTTGATAATAATTACTTTGTAATATAGTTTAAGATCTTCTATTGCTAGCCCCTTTAGTTCCTTCTTTTTCATCAATTTCCTTGAGATGCTTGACCTTTTATTCATTCTTTGATAGTTGCATTGGAATGGGACTGAATAAGTAAATAATTTAGACTTGTCATTTTTCTTATATTGCCACAAACTACTAATATGCATTTCATATTTCTCCAGTGGTTGAATCTGTATTTCTTTTGAGTGTTTTGTTATTACATACATATAATTTCTATGTGTTTTTAGTAGACTTCCAAATATTTTATACATTTTGTAGCTTATATATTCTTAGCTATTTTAAATGGAATTTCTTTTTGTATCTCTTCCTATTGGGTTTTAATTGGTTATATACAGGAATGCCGATGATTTATGTTGATTTATTTTATATCTTGCTACTTTGCTGAAGTTGCTCCAACTAACTTTTAAATTGACTTTGTAGCGTTTTCTAAATAAATTATCATATTGTCTACAAAAAGCAATAATTATGTTTCTTCTTTGCGTATGCTTTATTCTTCAGATTTCTTTTTCTTATCTTAATGCTATAGTTAGTGTTTCTAGAACTAAGTGAAATAGTAGTGACAATAATGGGCATTATATAGGTTATACATGTACAACTATATAAAACATTTCCATATTAGTCACAGTTGTGAAACAAGAAATGGATCAAAAAAAAAACCCATGAAAAAATAAAATGAAAAAAGTGTGCCTTGATTTGCATTCAGAGTCTATCAGTTCTTTATACGGATGTGGATAGCATTTTCCATCATGAGTCCTTTGTACTTGTCTTAGGTCATTGTGTTGCTGAGAAGAGCTGAGTCATTCATATTTGATCATCACACAATGTTGCTGATACTGTGTACAATGTTTTCCTGGTTCTGCTTATTTTGCTTTGCATCAGTTCGTACAAATCTTTCCAAGTTTTTCTGAAACCTACCTGCTCATCATTTCTTATTGCACAATAGTATTCCATTTCATTAATATGCCACAGTTTGTTCAGCCATTCTCCAATTGATGGGCATCCCCTCAATTTCCATTATTTTTTACCATGAAAAGGGTTGCTATAAATCTTTTTGCACATGTACGTCCTTTCCCCTTTTTTATGATCTCTTTGGGATACAGACCTACTAGTGGTATTCCTGGATCAAAGGGTTTGCACAGTTTGGTTGCCCTTTGGGCATAGTTCCAAATTATTCCCCCGAATAGTTGGATCATTTCACAACTCCACCAACAGTGTGTCAGTGTCCCAATTTTCCCACATCCTCTCAGACAGCAAATATGTTTTTGATATGTAAACTAAGGTGAGACAAAGTAAGAGAAAGAAAACTGTAGGCTAATATCTCTAATGACCACTGCTGTAAACATTTTCAATAAAATGTAACAAATAGGCTATAATAACATTTAAAAATTAATTAATTTTTAGTTTTCAATGTTCACTTTTATAAGATTTTGAGTTATAATAACATCTTAAAAAATTATACACTATGGCCAGGTTGGATTTATACTGGGAAAGTAGGTTTGATTTAATATAAAGACTATAAACTTAAACCGTATTAGTTACATAAATATAATAACATTATTATAATCAATACATGCTGAAAAGGTTTTTGACAAAATCTAACACTCATTTCTGTTAAGCACCAAAAAAACAGAGTAATAAATGTATTTTTCCTCACCATAATAAATAGCATCTATTTTAAAATCAAGAGCAAGCATTTTATGTAATGGAGAAAAATTAGGGGCTTTTCCAGTAAATTCATGGATATAACCTATATAAAATTGCCTGCCATTTTAGGAAGAGGGGAGGGGAGAATGAGAGGGAGAAATATTTGGAACTCAAAATCTTGTAAAAATGAATGCTAAAAATTGTCTTGACATATAATTGGGAAAAAACTTGAATACTATCAAAATTTTAAAAAAACATGTTTGTATCATGGAAAGTTTTTGGAAGAGTCCTTTCTTTTCCTCTTTTTCCAATAATTTATTAATTTATAATTAATTTTTGAATGTTTGATAAAAGGCACTAGAAAATTCCTGTAGTCCTAGTGCTCCCTCCCACCTCTTTGGGATTTTATTTCTGGATTATTCAACTTTTTTCTGATGTTGAATTATTTAAATAATGTTTCTTCTGCTAGTCTAGGTATTTTATATTTAAGAATTTATCCATTTCATTTGTTTTGTTGGCACATAACTGAACAAAAATAATTTAATAGTTTCCTCTTCAAATGTGAAATTTTTAATTTTTGATGGGCAGAATATGGTTTTCTTCTCTTTTTAAAAGTCAGATTAGCTATTTGTCTTTTTTACCATTTTTTTCAAATTAACTCCTAGTTTTACTTATTCCAAAGTTCGTATTTCAATCTTGTTAATCTCTTGATTTTCAGAATTTTGACTTCATTGTTTACTTGAAGGTTTTTGACATGTCTTTCTGGGGTGTTTTTGTTGCATGCCCAATTCAATGTTTTTTTCTTCCCTTTTTTTGATAACAGTGTTTAGATACGTAAAAATTTCCCCAAAAAAAGTTGGTTGCTTTAGCTACTACATCCCATAAGCTTTTATACGCTAATCTCATTACTATAATTTTCCTTGAAGTATTCTGTTGTTTCTATAATTTCTTCTTTGATCCACTCTTCTTTAGAATTCTTAGTCTTCAACTAATTTTAATCCAATACATGTTTAATTTTTACCAAGTTTACATGTATGATTGAGAAAAAATATAAACCTCTGTGTTCCCATTTAGAAATCACCAGAGAGCTATTATATCTAATTTTTCTAAAGTGCTATTCATGTCCTTAGCTTCTTTCTTGTTTAGCTTTTTGTTTCTCTAGATCTGAAAGGGATACCTTTCAATGATATCCTCCACTATTAAACTGTACTTTAGTTGTCTACTTTTCCCTACAATTTGATTAACTTTCACTTTAAGTATTAATCGGGCAGCTAGGTGGTGTTTAGTGCGTAGCGTATTGAGCCCAGAGTCAGTAAGACCTGAGTTCAAATTCAGCCTCAGACATCTACTAGCAGTGTGACCCTGGGGCAAGTCATTTAACTTCTGTTTGCCTTAACAAACTGGAGAAAGAAACAGCAGACCACTCCAGTATCTTCTCCAAGGAAACCCCAAATGAGGTCACAAAGAGTCAGCCACAACTGAACAACAATTAAGTATTAAGATGCTATGCTGCTCAGAACATATAAGTATTGCCAAGATATTGATTCATAAGCAATGGTACCTTTAAGCAAAATGTCATATCCCTGTTTATTGTAGCATTTTATTGTCTATATTTAGCTTTATCCAAAAAGATGGCTACTCTTGCCTTTTTCAGTTCATATTAAGTAAAACAGATTCTCTTCCAGTT